GGAGAGAGAGAGAGAGAGAGAGAGAGAGAGAGAGAGAGAGAGAGAGAATGACTTTAAATAGGGGAAAGCTTACATCGAATACAGTAAATATTCATTTGACATTGACTACATAGGAGGTGCTTTAGACACATTTCCTGCCTTCAAGAAGCTTATCAACTATTGTGGGTGGGGAGGTGGTGAATTGCTTAATAATCCAAACTGTAATAGCACCAATGAGAATAGACTTTCTCTACCATATTCACTCTTGTGTCCCAAACACTGGAACAATACCTGTCATATAAGAGGCACTCAACACATATTGTTAACAAACTGTTGTTAAGGAGCCCCTGAGATAAATGCTCTAAGAGAAGCATTTAGTGGCAGTCTCTCAAAAGAGGGAGAGCTCTAAACATTTAGTGGGGCTGAGGAAAGGCTTGGTGGAGAAGGTGGTACTTGAGGTAGTCCTTATGATATGCTAGCATTTTAGTAGGTGACATGAGGAGGGGAACCCTGTACCCAGAGAGAACAGCATGACTGAAGGTGCTAGAGTAGCAGTGGCTAGGCAGTGGTTCTCAACCTTCCTAATGCTGCAACCCTTTAATACAGTTCCTCATGTTGTGGTGACCCCCAACCATAAAATTATTTTCGTTGCTACTTCATAACTGTAATTTTGCTACTGTTATGAATCATAATGTAAATATCTGAGATGCAGGATAGGGCATGGCCTGATGGTGATGAGAGTGTCTGCATTTTAACAAAATCCCTGGAGGATTTCCCCTGGTCTGGGAGGACTGGTATGTGGAAAACACTCAGGGACATTGTGGAAGAACAGTCTAGACAAGGAGGTTGGGACCAGATTGGTAGACCCTTGAATTTTAGGACGAGGTGTCCAACATTATTTGCTCAACAGTGGGAAGCCTAATAGTTTTTTGAACAGAAACTATCTGGGCAGTAGATGTAAACTGGATTGAAGGAGCAGAATTATGGGGTAGGAAAAGTTAGGAGGGAATTAGAATGAGAAAGACAAGAAGTAAATGGCTTGGACTTGAAGATTTTGCTTTGTAGGTTCTGAGGGAAGAGCAGTCCACCTTTTCCGCCTTTTCTTGAAGATTCTTAAAGTTAACAAGTAGTCAACAAGCATTTATGGGATAATAAAGGAAACAAAACCGATCATATTATATCTCCTCTTAAGAGCTGTCTTGCAGGCAGGAAACTCTTGATCCTGCTGTGAATTAATATCACCTGTAGAGCTTTTAAACAAGACCAAGGCCCATGATCCACCTGAAATTTCTGTATTAACTGGCTGGTGTGGGGCTGAAAGATGAGTATTTTCTAAAAGCTCCTGATTCAAAATGTGCAGCTTGAATGGGAAGCCACTATTTTATTTTAAATTTAAACTTAGCAAGGCAGACAACATGGATAGTAACAACAATATAACCTTATGATTGGACCCCTGCCTACAACCAGCCTCACATTGTAATTTTTCCTAAGGATCCTATGCTGACCATGCTAAACACCTGGATCTTTCTAAAATGTGTAATGTTCTTGATGCTTTTGGTCTTTGTCTTGCTATCCTCTGTCGCTTTGAAGGTTCTCTCACCCTGAGTCAGCATGGCAAACTTCTAAAGACTCAGTGAATTTTTTTTCTGTAAGTCTTCTTTGATGTCTTCTTGGAGTTGAGTAGATCAGTGCATGAATAAAGTCTCAGACTTCAAGGAACATATACAGGAGAGTGTAGGTGCTGAGAGTGAGTTTTGAAACCAACTGTTTAGGTTTCATCCCCATCTGCATCACTTTCTAGCTTTGTAATATCAGGCAAGTTACTGGTACTCCATATCTCATGCTCTTATTCTAGCAAGTGAAAGTAATGATTCTTTCCTCATTGGGTTGTTGTGTGCATCAATGAGTTAATGTCAATAAATACCAGCTGCTGTTCCTGCCACTGCCACTTCTACAACAATATCAAACATGGGAGTTAAGACAAAAACTCAAAACAATGGTATATGGTAAAGTGTGAAATTGCATGTTATATAACAAGATAGGTTGAAGTTGTAGTAGACTCTAGAATTTCTTAAAGAAATTGTAACCAAGAAAAGCTTCATAGAAGCATTGGATATGGAAAGGTAAAGATTGAAGGTAAGGAGAATACATTTCAGGCAGGGAGGAGAGTCATATGAGTAGAATCAAAGGTAATATAGGAAACAGATGGATAATAAGATCTTAGAAGGCCAAAAAGAAAGAATGAAGTTATTGTTTTCCTCTGTGACTCCCTTCCCTATTTCCTGTGTTAGCCTTTGACTTACCTGCATAGCTTCTCCTGTACTATATGTATTCCCAATGAGACCATTTCTTTTTTTCTCAGACAGAATCTTTTTTACCAGTGACTCTATATAATGACTGATATCCTGTAAATCCTCTCCATTGTTTTGGATGCTCCTCTTCACACAGGTCAGGGCCAGGACAGCCATTGCACCAGTATCTGTCAGGAAACCAAATATTGGTGATAGAGTGACCAACCATGCCAGTTTGCCTTGGACTTATGGGTTTCCTGGTATGTGGGACTTTCAGTGCTAAAAAAGGTACAATCTGGGTAAACTGGGATGGTTGTTCATGGTAGTTGGTGGTGGGAGAGAAGGATTTCAAGAGATAGCAATCATCCCTTCAACACTAATCACTTCAATATTTTTTTAAAAAAATATATTTTATTGGTTTTTTACAGAGAGAAAGGGAGAGGGATAGAGAGTTAGAAACATCAATAAGCTGCCTCCTGCACACCCCCCACTGGGGATATGCCTGCAACCAAGGTACATGCCCTTGACCGGAATCGAACCTGGGACCCTTCAGCCCGCAGGCCGATGCTCCATTCACTGAGCCAAACCAGTCAGGGCATCACTCCAATATTTTAAGATTCCTTATGTTGAGTAGCCATGTACCTTGTACCCAATAACTCACATCTTGGTCATAGAAACACATGAATTTGTAGGTGCATACTCATGAACAGTCTTCCACTTTTACATCTTGTTTTTCATTTTCATTTTTTCACCTTTCAGCGTATTTTTAAAGGAATTGAGAAAACAAAGGATGACAAACCAAACAAAATATATCTTTGTAATATTTCAAGGTTTCCATTAGACTGATTAGTAAATAATACTTAAGAGAATAGTTTTTCAATAAACCTCCTTTAGATGGAGGATGAGATTGAAAGGAGGGAAAATAAGGTTTGTTTACTTTTTTCCTGGCTTGATTCTTAGTTCCCCCCTAGGTGGTGGCCTCCCTTTTGCAAAGGAAAAGGAGTTTAAGAAACCTCATGTTTTCCTTACTATCCAGAGATACAGAATGCTTTTCTTTGAGCTGCTTTGAGGAAGATTAGCTTTTGTGTATCTGAATCTGTAGGGGATGAGCACCAATACTAGCTATCTAGAGGCGACTTTTTTTTTTGGATGGGTAAGCTGACCCAGTGAAAAATTTCCGGTAATTCCCCATTGTGAATACACATTTTATTGAGCAAAATATTGGGCCTTGTTACTTGCAGAGGTTGTGTGTTGTTCAAGTAAACTCACACATCCAAGTGATTGCAATAAACTGGAAAAAGAGGCAGGGGTTAAGATAAATGGATTCCACTATATTCCCATTCTTTAACACTTATGATTTCTAAAATGTGAAGATTCTCATATTCTATCCTAATTTTAAAGTTGGGAAAATTAAAGTTGTGTTAATGTCCATTGGTTCTATAACTCAAGAGCTGGGATAGGATCCATGTTTTTCTACTATACTACACATCTAGAAAAAGACTTAACTGCCTCCCAGTTTCCATTCTTCTAAGAAAAGAAAACTCCCTTCCGAGGAGACTAGGATAGATGAGATAGAAAAAAAATCTAAGTACTTACTTGTAGAAAAACTCTAAGGGCAAGACCTACTAATAACTGTGTCCTCTCTATCAAGGGTATTGAGTTTAATGACTCACCTACTGAGAACTGACCACCAAAATAAAAGTTCTTATTTTCAGGACTGAAATATTTTTTAACTTCGGTGATTGAGTAGCTCCCATTGAACAGACACAAGGTCAGCACGTCCAGGCTGAGCTGGTAGTAGTTAGTCAGCGGATTGCCATCATGTACTCCTGGAAGAGAGAAAAGAAATACCTCACACATGGAAGTGGTACTGGGATAATATATTTGAAGTCTATTCCTATTTACTTTATTCCCATTTCTTTACACTGAATGAAAGATGAGTAATATAAAAGGAGAATCACACATAGAATCAGCAAACTTGAGAAATTTAAAGGCTCTAAGAGCCACCAAATTAAAATCCTTACATTTTATCACTGAGGAGACCCAGCATTAAAAGTATTAAAATACTATCCTGATATTCAGGTGGTTACAAAGCTAGGACACAGATTTCCCACCACCAAGCCTCTTGCATGTTGTAGTAATGAGCTGAAGCTATAAGAAGTTGAGGCCATCTCAAAGAAGGATGGGATTGGAGGGATTTATTGAATAATAGGATATTGGATAGGAGTTAAAATAAAAGCAATGCACCTTACTGGAAGCCAGTGATGAAGTACTATTGGCCATCTTTACTTCCCATATTAGTATTGTATGCTTCAGTAATCATGATATAGTACCTTGTATTGCTCAGTTATTTCTGGTGTGATTCATTATTTGTCTAAAAGTCAAGCTTGCATAGAATAGAGAACTGTATTGTGTGTATGTGTGTGTGTGTGTGTGTGTGTGTGTGTGTGTGTGTATGCTTGATGTAGGGTCAGTGTTCAGTTGAACATATTTGAAAAGACAAATTCAAGATGCATGTAGAAAGGGAAGAAGGGAAGGTGATCTACCAAGATAGAGTGAGATGAATGGAATGAAGAGGAGAAGGAAGAATGGAAGGATACTTCATACAGTTCTGAATCAGTAGAGAAGAAGACAAGGTTGTCCAAGGTCTCTAAACACTTGATTCTCACCCATATTTTCAATTTCTTTTTGGAATTTCTCTTCTAGTTGGTTGACCAGATGGAAATATGTAACACTTTCATCAGAGTTCTGACATGCTCTCAAAGCCAGTATAACTAAGGCAAGCTCTCCCGAGGTTAAATCTGACCCTGAAAAGAAAATTATTCAATTTTAACAAGGTATACACTTCTGATATTTTTGGCCTCCCGTCTTCCTTGTTACTTAAGTTTCCTGTCACTTCTTTCTTATGTTCCACTCTAAACTAATATTTTACTGTTCTCATCTTTATCTCCAAAGCATAACTTTTGCTAGCTGTACTGTAAAAATATAAGCTAGATGAAATCATGGAATCTTTTTGGAATCTTACAATCCTTATAAAAATAAAAAAGAAGAAAAATAGATAAATAATGAAATCTTGGGATCTTCTGTCTTTGTGGGTGTCATCTTGCCAGGATAGTAATAATTATCTTTTATATTTTACCTTATAGAGTATAAACGCTTGGGATTTTCATAATTTTTGCAATAAGAGATAGGTAGGGGTAGCTTCATTTCCCCCTTATGTTAAATAGAAAGCTGAGGCTCTGTATTGATACAACAGGTACAAGGTGGAGCTTGGACTTAAACCAAGGACACATATCTCTTGTTCTATGGTTGCCTCTCTAATGTCAGCTTTCTTAGTTGTGGTCCACACCCCATCTGGGTGTGAACTCAGCTAGTTTGTAGAACAGTATTAATGGTTAAGACTCCATAATTTATTTTGTTTTTCCTGTGATCTCTTAAAAAAATGGTTTTCAAGAGCCAAAGAAGTAAGTGGCTCTTGAGTAAGTGGCAGGGGGATTGATATTTTGAGGCACCTTTCTGTCACCTCAAGTTTTATGCTGCTGGGTAGATGTAGCAGGGATACTTTGGACACACAATTTTTAGGATTCACTGGAGATAATCTTTATAGATAGGGAACTGTTATCCTAAACCTTCCAGAGAATATACTAATAGTACTCACTCTTCTTTTCCACACTGTCGCTGACTTCTTGGAACACTTGTTGTTCTAAGTTTTGGTCCTGGATTCCAACAAGTCTGAGGGACAACAGGACATTGGCAGCTTGGATTCCTCTGGCATATTTTGAATGGATCATTGTATTTAGTAGAGGGTTTAAACGGGAGTAGTTTTCTTTGCTTACCTCTGTGGCGGGGGGGGGGGGGGGAGGAAATAAGAAACACATAGAAAATATTAAAGCTCAGAATGGGAAACCCTCCAGATTTAGCCAACAACCTGTCCAAATCCCAAGCAAAAGGATGGAGGGAGTCACATTATACTGTGGAAGGAAAAAGAGAATTCAGAATCCCTAAGAACTAGAGGAGAACAAGAAAAGTTAGTTACCTTTTCTAAATATGCTTTGATAATAATCCTAAGAAAATCCTACCCATTTCCAGATTATCATGGGTTAGTGTGATAGTGAGAAGAATATGAGCCCTGGATCCAGACAGACTGTGGCTGGATTATATGCTCCTTAATTTATGACTGTGGGTAAGATATGTAACTTTCCTGACCTTCGGTTTCTTTGTTTTAACAACTACTTCATAGATATTGGACAATATATCAATAAATTGTAAAATATTGTACAAATTGTTACTTTTAGCTTAGCTGGAGGTTCTATCCCTATACTTAGAGAATCCAGGCTATGTGATTTTCCCTGCTCACCTTTCTTCATTTTAAATAGAGATCAAGAAGATCTGAATTCAGTGATCATAGAAAGGGTCATGGTTTGCCACAGATACAATTGGATAATTGTGAGTCATCTCTGACATTCTGTGGAAGCATCTAATTTAGCCGATTTTCTGGCTTTGAAACAGACTTTTTAGTTCCTGGTCAATAACTCCAACCAGCTTCCTTGACCAACAATTCCAACCAGCTTCTTTGACCACTAAAGTAAATTATTTTGTACAATGCATTGAATTTCAAAGCCTCCATAGAGACCCCCTATTCTTAGGATACAATAAAGAAAAGGACAGGCCAGAAAATAAAATTAGAGTTGGCCTAGTCTTTGTTTTAGCTTGTGTGAATACAAGTCTTTCTGTTGTGGTGTTGATCTCTTCTTGTACTAGTAGGCTAGAAAGTACCAGGAAGATGTAGCCACAGTTGGCACCATATAGTCATCTTTGGACTGATTTGAAGTTTAATTCCAGGGTAAAGACTTACATGCAGAAATCATGCATCTGAGAGCCAAAGCAGACTTTAATAAATCACCTGCTTCAACACCCTTCCCTGATTAACCTCCATTTATGAATGACTCTAAAAAAAAATCAGAAATATTGGATCATTCCGCTACTAAGGGGTCAGACTAGACCTAAACCCAGTTTTTATTTCTCCTTACTAATTTTTTTTAATAGAACCACATAGTCACTGGTGTCTATATCCAAAGGAAAGATGATGGGGGTTGTACCCATGTCCTGTAGGAAAAAGTTGAAGGGAGGGGAATGTGTAGCATGAAATAGCTAAATTCAATAATGACAAGAGAACAGTTTTCATTATTTAAAAGAGATTATTAATATTACGTGTTTCTGTGTAGTCACAAAAGGTTAACCCAAAGCCCATGGGCTGAATTTTAGAAAAGTAGATGGTATCTCAAAATCGAAAGATAACTTTTCATGATCTTGAAAATTTTGGGGGGTCATGAATTTTCTACCGTTGAAAATGAACAGAAATAGTCAGCAACTTGGTAACATCACTGTGGTAGAGAGGATCTGAACATAGAAAGAATAGTTAGGCAAGTTAACGTTGAATCTCTGATCCCTCATAACAATAGTTGTGGAACTTTCCTTACCATCTCTGGCCACCCTTTACATTACTCATAGAGTTCAAACACATATAAAACTGAGATAGGATCTTTTTTCAGATAACTCTCTACAAAGTTTCCTGTCAGTAGCTGTCAGGAGACTATCACAGTAGAGTAATTTTAGATCAAAGGATACTCACCACAGATGGTGCATAGTTGGCTTGGAATAAGAGAAAACAATAAGAGCCCCACTAGGGGCAGCTGGTGTGATTGTCTCATCTTTCCAGCAGTGTATTGGAATGGTGAGGACTTTGCTGCCTATTTATTGAATGACAGACAGAAAAGAATGAAAGCTCCTCCTTCGGCTTGCCCGCAGCCTCTTTTACTCAAGCAAATATTGAGCAATTCAGATAGGTGTGGTGAAGTGTATTTTTCCAAGTAATATCACAAACCAGGAAGAAGACTTGAAAGGTGTGGGCAGGGAGAATGAGGTAATAATTTGTCTTTGTTTTCTATCCCAAACCTTCAAGGTTCACATTTCTTACTTGCCTTCAGCCCAATGGGAATAAATTAGGTGAGTGACTATTTTCAGTAATATTTCCCTCTTTTCCATTCTGCTTTTGTTATGGTTTTTTTTTTAAGAGACCTTATTTTTGATGGGGCTAAGGCTTACAACACATAAAAATGGAAGCAGAAGTTCTAAGTTCTAAGTTTCAAATTGGACAGACAGGATAGGGGATTGGTTTTTGACCTATGATTTTCTCCTAAGATAGATGCCCTGAGAATTTCCAGGTCAGGAGGATAACCACAGAGATGCACATCAAATGTGGATTTTTGCCATGCCAAGTAAGATGCTATGTGCTACATGTGAGAACTGTTGTTTATCAGTCTTCTAAGAACTAATAGTGAATACTATCAGTTTAGCTTTAAAATGTTTGCTCTGGGTCAGCAAGATGGTGGAGTAGGAAGTCATCTGCTCACATCACCCACAGAAACAGTAACTGATCCATGGACAAAAGTTCCTGTGTGGGAACATCAGGTTCCAGGTAAGAGGTTGCGAAACCCCAATGGAGCTGCTGAGGAGGGCTGTATTGAGAAGGCACACCACTGTAAACAGACTTGCATTCATACAGGCTAAAGCACAGAATCAGAAAACTATTATTTTTCTTCCTGGATTATATCCTGTTATATCCTGAGAAGGCAGGTTCACTGACCACGGTCCTGGCTAAAGACCCAGAAAAATAGCCTTATGTAAGTCCCTTAACCTCTGTGTAGGTAATAATAGCTCTTCTCTGTTAAGGTTTTGTGAGAATTCTATGAGTTACCACAAGGGTGCTTTGAATAGTACCTCATACTCATAGGCAGTACATACTAGTAATTCTCAACTTTTATCGTCTCGATAACCATCAAGTCATATCTACCTGTAGTCTGATTGTCAAGCCTGATACCCGACTCCCTCAATCACTGGTCTAATCAGTCCTCAGTGTCAAACATTCTACCTTCTGGGGCCAGTCAGCTTCTCTCTGCATTTACTGACATTACTCTGGTCTAAATTACCATAACTGCACCTCCATAATAACTTCCAAATTTTTGTCTTAGCCACTTGTACCCTCCTCCAAGTCATTTTTCTTTTAAAAAATAAATTTATTGATTTCAGAGAGGAAGGAAGAGGGAGATAGAAACATCAATGATGAGAGAGAATCATTGATCATCTGCCTCCTGCACACCCCACACTGCGGATCGAGCTCACAACCCAGACATGTGCCCTGACTCATGATCTCCTGGATCATAGGTGGACACTCAACCACTGAGCCAGGCCAGTCCAGCCAAGTCATTTTTCATTTAACTCCTAGAGCAGCATTTCCCAAACTTGATTAATATGTAGACCCCACCTAAAGAAAAGAAATTCTCAAGGAATACAGTTTGACCCAGGGTGCCCTAGACTTTGTATTTGGGAAAAAGTCAGTTTTGAATATTTTAAAAACTTGCAGGAGAGATATTTGATTGTCCTGTAATATCTTAAGTTATTCAAAATCTCATAGAATTGAAAATATATCTGTGACTCTGTAGGCTCTGAGCATTGTTTCACACCTCCAGTGATCTTCCAAAGCATAATTCTGATTCTTTGCTTCCAGGTTAAAACCTTGAAGGCTTCCATTGCACTTTGAATAAAACTCCATATATTTTAAATGTGATCTCTAAAAACATGTATCCTCTGACCCTTGTCTGTCTCTCCAGCATTTATTTCACTATCTTCTGTTATGTTCCAACTCACTTTTTTTTTCTTAGTTCTTCTATTGTGCCAAGTTCCTTCCTGCCTCAAGGCTTATTTGCATGTGTGGTTTTCCTCTCTTGAATGCTGGCTTTCAGGGGGTGCTGCTTCCTGTCCCCTCCAATGGCTCATCCTTTAGCATAAATACCACTTAATCAAGGATACTCTGTCTGCACTTCCCAGACCTGGTTATGTCCCCCTGTTATCTACTCTCTTGGTATTCTGTACTTTCCTTTGTAGCACTTCTGAAAATTGCAATTAGTTACTTGCAGAAGTATTTCTTAACTGTGTTTGTTTGATGTGTGTCTCCCTGCCAGATATGAGTTTCTCAAAGGTAAGGGCTTAATATCCAAAATATATAAGGAACTCATACAGCATAACAAAATGAAGACAAACATTCCAATTAAAAGATGGGCAAAGGACCTAAATAGATACTTCTCTGAAGTGGACATACAGTTCACCAAGAGACATGCTCTGTCACTAATCATCAGAGAGATGAAAATTAAAAAGACAATGAGCTATTACCACATACCTGTCAGAAAGGCTACCATCAACAAATGGCAAGTGTTGGTGAGGATGTGGAGAAAAGGGAACCCTAGTACAATGCTGGTGGGAATGCAGACTGGTGCAGTCATTATGGAAAACAGTATGGAGTTTCCTAAAACAATTAAATATAGAACTACCATTTGACCCAGTGACCCCACTTCAAGAAATATATTCTAAGAAACCTGAAACACCAATAAGAAATAATATATGCACCCCTATGTTCATAGCAGCACAATTTACAATAGCTAAGATCTGGAAATAGCCCAAGTGCGTATCAGTAGATGAATGGATAAAAAAGCTATGTTACATTTACACCTTGGAATACTATGCAGCAATAAAAAGAAGGATCTCTTACCCTTTGAGATAGCATGGAGGGACCTGGAGAGTATTATGCTAAGCAAAATAAGCCAGTCAGAGAAAGACAAGTATCACAAGATCTCACTCATATATGGAATCTAATGAACAAAATAAACTGATGAAAAAATAGATCCAGAGGCATAGAAGCATGAACAAACTGATGAATCTCAGAGGGAAAGTGCTGGTGGGTAGGTGAATGGGGAGAGATTAACCAAAGAACTTATATGCATATATGCATAACCCATGGATACAGACAATAGTGTGGTGGAGGCCTGGAGGATGGGGACAGGGGTTGGGTAAAAGGGGTCAGTGGAGGGGAAAAAAAGGGACATCTGTAATACTTTCAATAATAAAAATAAATTAAAAAAAGGCAAAGCTAAAGGTAAGTCTTTCTTGTTCACTGTTGTATCTCCTACGGCACCATGCAAAATACTTAGAACATAAGCGGTTGTCAAATGTTTGCTAAAAGGAACCGCCCCAGATTCAGAGCCAAATTACAAATTGGTAACGCATATATTTTTAAATAACATGCACGTATTGGTAGATAATCTCATTGGAATAAATATTAGAAGTTTATTCAGGTGCAAACTAGAAAAGTAAGCAATTGAGTTGGCTTTCATCAGGACTGAGAGAATTCAAGATTTGAGCATCTGGGGTTTGGAATCAAGGTCATTCAAGTATTAAGTATGTTAGAGTCCTCTAGTCCACATTTAAAAAAATCTAATCAAGCAGATCTACTTGGAGATAATCTAATCTCTTTTTCTTTTACCTCTCCTTGCTGATAAGCAAGATTTATGTAATTTTGGTTATTTGCTTGACTTACTGAAGGTGAATGTTGAGGAATGAGCCAAGTACCAAAATATCTAGTAAAACTCACGCTTTCTAGGCTTATCAGCAGAGCAAGACAAGGTCCTAATGGCTCCCAAGTTACTCTGAGCTGAGCACAAATGGCCTCAGTTCTGCTCCTGCATTGCATGTATGGGAACTGGAACAAGGGTTTGAGTGGAGGCACGTATACCATATATCTATGTAAAAGTTATAAATCAATTGAAGACACTGTTAAATAAGATCTGTTCTGCCCTCCTGTTTTGACAAACAAACTTTTATTATAATGAGATAGAAAGACAGATTTTCATTTAGAATTATTATTTTTTAAAATTTATTTTTATTGATTTCAGAGAGAGATAGAAACATCAATGATGACAGAGAATCATTGATTAGCTGCCTCCGGCATGCCTTACACTGGGGATTAAGCCTGCAACCCAGGCATGTGCCCTGACCAGGAATCGAATCATGACTTCCTGGTTCTAGGTCAACGTTCAAACACTGAGCCACTCTCATTTAGAATTCTTAGAGCCTGGAACATTTCCATGTGATAAGTGCCATCATCCATCTCCACTATATTGCACTTCCCCATGCAAGACCCATAGCCCAATTTCTCCTCTCTTTCCAACCTTATTCTGACCTGTGTTGTAAGGACCTCCACACATAGAGTGCCTGTGTGTGGTCACTACAGATGACACATCCAAGCTCTGTTCATATTTCTTTTTTAATATATATATATATATATTTTTTTTTAAAATTAATTAATTAATTAATTAATTTATTTTTCTTTCTTTATTGATTAAGATATTACATGTGTCTTTATCCCCCCACTGCCTCCCTGCTCATGCTCTCACCCCTCTGGTGTCTGTGTCCATTGGTTAGGCTTATATGCATGCATACAAGTCCTTTGGTTGATCTCTCCCCCTTACCTGCACCCTCTCCTACCTTTCCTCTGAGGTTTGAGCCTCTCATCGATGCTTCCCTATCTCTGAATCTGTTTTTGTTCATCAGTTTATGTTGTTCATTATATTCCACAAATGAGTGAGATCATGTGATATTTATCTTTCTCTGACTGACTTATTTCACTCAGCATAATGCTCTCCAGGACAATCCATGCTGTTGCAAATGGTACGAGTTTCTTCATTTTTATAGCAGCATAGTATTCCATTGTGTAGCTGTACCACAGTTTTTTAATCCACTCATCTGCTGATGGGCACTTAGGCTGTTTCTAAATCTTAGCTATGGTAAATTGTGCTGCTATAAACATAGGGGTACATATGTCCTTTCTGATTGTTTCTAGTTTCTTGGGATATATTCAGAGAAGTGGGATTACTGG